CTGGACAGCTGGTCCGAAGGAAGGGGCTAGGAGTGGGGGCTCCTGGTCTGAGAGAGGAGGGGCTGGGGGCTGGACAGCTGGTCCGAAGGAAGGGGTTAGGGGTGGGAGCGCCTGGTCTGAGAGAGGAGGGGCTGAGGGCGGGTCCGAAGGAAGGGGTTAGGGGTGGGAGCGCCTGGTCAGAGAGAAGAGGGGCTGGGGGCTGGACAGCTGGTCCGAAGGAAGGAGAGAGGAGTGGCTAGGGTTCAGGACATCTGGCCTGAAGTAGGGGCCTGGGGGGTGGGGCTCCTGGTCTGAGAAAGGAGGCCCAGACTTAGGGTCCAAAGGAGGAGGTCAATATCAAGGCTCTTTGATCAAGGAAGACTGGACAGTAATGTCAGAGTCCTGGACGAGGACAGGTGTGTGTGTGTGTGTGTGTGTGTGTGTGTGTGTGTGTGTGTGTGTGTATGGATAATTCCAGGAGGCATGAGGGTGTGTGGGTATGTGTGTGTGATTTATGTATGTAGGTGGGGAGGGGTGTGTGTAAGAGAGAAAGTGATTTCTGGAGGAGTGTGTATGCTGTGAATATGTGTTAATGTGTGGTGTATGTATGTGTGTTAATGTGTGGTGTGTGCCTATGTGTTTTGTGTTGTGTGTGTGTTTAATGTGTGGTGTGTGTATGTGTGTTACTGTGTGTATTTGTTTTGTGTTGTGTATGTCTGTTAATGTGTGAAGTGTGTGTATGTGTGTTAATGTGTATGAGGTGTGTGTGTGTGTGGTGTGTATGTCTGTTAATGTGTGGTGTGGTGTGTGTGTGTGCGTGTTAATGTGTGTGGTCAGAACACACCCGGGGGCCTCAGCCCTCCCCAGTTGTCCTCCTTTGTCCTGTGACAGGTCCGCTGCAACCCAACCCCACTGGGATTAGGTGGAGGTATTTGAGAAGGGACAGTGGCCCGAAGACAATAGCTGCCCCACCCACAGGGGCTATTTCAGGGGTGGCGTAGCTGGTGAAACAGAGGACATTTCCTAATAAGGGATGTGAGGGGCTTCAGGGAATCAGTGACACACACCCTTGAAGGGCCAGTTGGCTCGGTGTCCTCCCACGCGTCCCCCCTTTGACCTTCACCCACACCTGTGGTGTCATCTCACCCAACAGTAGATTCTGCTCAGCCCATCTTGTCTCCCATATGGTCAGGCCTCCCCCAGACTCTGTGATCCCCTGAATGTCAAAGTGTAAGCGATCCTCAAATTCCAACCCCAGTTTCTGACCCCCTAGTTGATGTTCCTTGATTCTTTTATTTTTTTAATAAATGGGTGGGTGCCCCTTGATTTTGACATCAGCAAATTCTCATCTCTTCAAATTCTGAGACCCCCAATTTCTGATACTCACAGGTTCTAGGATCTTCAAATCTTAGGACCCCTTCGATTCTAAGACTCCAAATTCTAGTACCCCCAGATTCTGAGATCCCTCCCTAAACGCTGAGCTCCCAGTTCCTCATACTTCAAAGTCTGAAATCCTTAGATTCATATATCCTGGTCCCCAAATCTAGCACTGCAGGTCCTCAACCTCTCTTCTCAACCCCCCCAAATACTATCACTCTCTCATCTCAGACCTTAAATCCAGTAACCCCCGATTATGGGACCCCAAAATATCAACAACCTTGACCTTGAGGAGACACCAGTTACTTATGCTCCAGCTTGTGCACCTGAAAATCCTCATGTCCCAGGACCCTCAGAATGAACTGCATCCCCCATATGGGATCCCAAATTCCGACACTTGAGTTCTGAGGCTCAGCTGGTGACCTGTCCGAGTGGTGCCAATTCCCCGACCAGAACACAAACTCACTTCCTACAGTCTCAGATCCGGATGCCCTGACCCTCCTCCTGCGACCCTCCGAATTTAGATCTCAAATCCTAACATCCTCCCCGTGACACTGGGGTCTTTATAGGGTGCCCATTGTGTCGTGTGTAACGTGTTAGTCTGCTAACCACCAGGTCAGAGGTTTGACCCCAGCGGAGAAAGCTGGGGACAGTCTCCTCCTGTGAGACCCCACAGCCCTGGGCACCTGGGTGGAGGGCAACGTAAAGTTGGGGCCTTTACACAACAGGCTAGCTGTCACATCTTTCCCAGGGCTTGAACCACCCACCTCTCAGTTAGCAGCCAAATCCTTAATCACTATGCCTTCAAGGCTCTCCTCTCTAGGTTCTATTAACTCCAAATCCTAAGAATCCTCCATCCATCCTGAGTCTATAAAGCCTGAACCTCTCAAACCCTCAGAACCCCCATCTTTAAGCCCTTCCCCTTCCATATCTCCTCCTCCATCCTTCATCGCCCAGCTCTCTCCTGTCCCCTCCCCGAGGCCGCTGTGAGGCCCAGGGACCCCTGTTACCTAAGGCTGAGTCTCCTCTTGCTGGTCAGGGCTGGGCTGAGCTGGGGATGAGGCCAGAGCACCCCGGAGGTTTATAGCCACTGGCTCAGCCCCGCCCTAGGGGAAAAGGGAGGGGGAGAATTCCTTTCCCCAAACACTGAGGGCCTGCCCCGCCCCCTCTGCTTCCAAGTCCTGGGTCCTGGTGTCTCCCAGCTGCTCCAGGGCCCCCACCTCACCCCCAGCCAAGCCTCCCGGGAAGCCCAGGCAGAGCAGGACGCCTCTGCAGGCTCCCACTGTGCTCTGTGATATGTCCATGTTAGGGCCCATTGGAGGAGGTAGAAGTCCAGTAATCCCCCTGGGGGAGTCACTTTCCACCCACAGTGACCTCACGTGGTACATTCTAGAACTTCACTCCATAGGGTTTGCTAACAGTTGAGTTAGGTCCTCTCAAATTATTGCAGGCAGAAGCTGGCTGGCAGTGAGTGTCCCCTCTCTGCTCTCCCCTTGAGCTCTGGGCTTATGGAGCCTCTGCTGGTCATCTTTGGGCAGTACAAGGTCAGGACCCCGCACTGGAACAGCTCCAGCTGGGGACCATCGTGCACTGACACTGTGAAAGCCCCCAGAATAAAGCAGAAGAGTCTCAGCTCTCCTCCAAGCCCAGGACCTGTCCAGTTCTAGTTGAGGTGACCCACAGTCTCCAAGGGTCCTTCTCTTCCTCATTTAAGAAGGCAAGACCGCTTTTCTATGAAGATGGCGCCGAAAGCGAAGAAGGAAGCCCCTGCCCCTCCCAAAACTGAAGCCAAAGCAAAAGCATTAAAGGCCAAGAAGGCGTCCTGAAGGGCAGCCACAGACACACACAAAAAAAGATCCGCACGTCACCCACGTTCCGGCGGCCTAAGACGCTGAGACTCCAAAGGCAGCCCAGATACCCCAGGAAGAGCGCTCCCAGGAGAAACAAGCTTGACCACTATGCCATCATCAAATTTCCCCTGACCCCTGAGTCAGCCATGAAGAAGATAGAAGATAACAACACACTTGTGTTCATTGTGGATGTCAAGGCCAACAAGCACCAAATTAAACAAGCTGTAAAGAAGCTCTGTAACATTGATGTGGCCAAGGTCAACACCTTGATTAAGCCTGATGGAGAGAAGAAGGCCTATGTTCGACTTGCTCCTGATTATGATGCTTTGGATGTTGCCAACAAAATTTGGATCATCTAAACTGAGTCCAGCGGGCTAACTCTAAACGTAATACATTTTTCTCACCATAAAAAAAGAAGGCAAGACCAACAGCTCTGTGGGAGGCCCCCTTCTCCAGCCTCCGGGGACACCCTCCTCCAGAGCCGGCCACAGCCAGGAATGGGCCTGGGTGCAGGACCAAGGTGAGCCCTGAGGTGGGCTGCCGGCTCCCACAGTGCCGGGCGCCACTGGCCTGGGCACCCTTCTGGGGTGGGATGACCTCGTGAGCACTGCTGGCGTCAGGAGCACAGAAGCACCAGGCTCTCTGGTTCACATTGGGGCCCATCGGTACTTGTGGAATAAAAGAAATGACGCTGTAGGAAGCCCCTGAAGCAAAGTCATGTGTTGTACTGATTTCCTAGCTAATATCTATTGTTGTGACTCCCTGAAGGCAAAGATGATAAAGCTTCATCTCCCACACTTTGGGCTTGCTGCCAGGGAGGCTATTCCCTGGAGAAGGACGTCACGCTTGGAAAGGTAGAGGGTCTGCGAAGGTGAGGAAGACCCTCAAGGAGGTGCGTTGACACAGTGACTGTAGCAGTGGGCTTGAGTGTGTCAGAGATGGTGAGGCTGTCACACGATAGGACAGAGGTCAGGTCTCTTGTTCACAGGGTCTCTGTGGGTCATACTCGCTGCTATGGCACCTAACAACAATATACTTGTGAAGTGGTAGGGAGTTGCCAACCCAAATATTGCTGGTTCAAATCCACCAGCTGCTCTATGGGAGAAAGATGGACAGTCTCTTCCTGCGCAGTTTACCATCTCTGAAAACCCACTGGAGGGTCAGCTTCAAGTCAGTTCTGACTTGATGACACACAGCAACACACGTGTGAAGGAAGCACTGGTGGTGCAGTGCATTTTGCATTGCACTGTAAACTGGACGGTAAATCAGTGGTTTTAAATACACCAGCTGCTCCATGGAAGAAAAATGTGCCGTCTTATGGATTTACAGCCTCCCAAACCCACTGGCAAGGTGCTGTAGGTTAGCATCAACTCCACAGTAATGGATATGCTGGTTAAGAGAAGGAGTTACAGTGGCTCAGGGGATTAAAGATTGGTCTGCTAACTGAAAGGTCAGCAGTTCGAATCCACTAGCTGCGCCTTGAGAGAAGAATGTGACAATTCTGTAAGGCTTTGTGGTCTGTTGGAAGCTGTGGGGCAGTCCCACTGTCTGTCCCGTAGGGCCACAATGAGAAAGTGATATGGTTAATATTATGATAATGACTAAAATAAGACAAGCATGAATACATGCCATGGGAAAGAAAAATCGTGCCAACAGACGTCCTCAATGCAGGCCTGTAATAAGCCTTCAGTTTGTGAGGGGAAATGTTCACCATGTCAAGGCCAAGAACGTGAAGAACAATATAAGGAGGCATCATAGACTGCACTCATGGGAGAAAGAAGGCAGTGTGGTCCCTGACTGGGCCTGTGCCAATGGTGAAAGACAGAAGCCAGATTCCATGATGATCACGAGGATCTATGAACAAGGATTTCCCCTCAACACTGAGAGAGAGAAAAATCAAGCTGTCCTCTAGAGCCCAGTTCCCAAATTCCAACAGCTCACCTTCAAAAAAGTGTGAGGATTCTATCCCGGGTTTCGGCACCAAAAAAAGTATGGGGATATTAGCTTTTGTTTGTTAAAGTGGCCCACTGCGGTGTCCTGTCACAGTGTCACATCATGAGATAAGCTAAAACAAGATTTCCTTAACTGTAATCCTTATAGAGAAATGAGCCCTGGTCGTGGCAGGAGATTAAGAGTTGGGCTACTAAACAAAAGCAAGGTGGTTTGAATCCACCAGCTGCTCCTGGGGAGAAAAGGCAATCTCATCCTGTGAACCTTTCCAACCTCTGAATCATGATGGAGCTGTTCTGCAGGAT